TCATGCGTCTTCTTCTTTTTTTCTTTTTTTTGTGTGTGTGTGTGGAGTTGTATATAGCGAAAATGACAACACACACCCGCACCCACCCACCCACCCACCCATAGATCGTCAAACAGAGCTGCGAACGGTAAACCGTAGGTGGCAGAGAGGAAGAGAGGGAGAAGAGGACAAGAAACGAGGGGCTGTGACGAACTGTTTCGTCGTCGGAGTTTCACCAACTGACTCGTCAGGGCCGAGGTCCCACTAGCAAAGAGGATTGGATTGAACACCTGAATATGGACTTGGTTGTGGAAAGGTGCAGAATGTCGAGATTGGACTGCTTGTCTGCATCTCTGCTTAAATCACGTCCAGATTCAGGAGCTTGATCCTATCCTCTTTGCTACTGCAGTAGTGGGACCTCGCCCCAGGAGGCCGAACCCTCAACAGTCTGTCTGAAGATTCACCTAACTGACAACACTGTCAGTGCCAATCCATATAAAAAATAAATAAATAAATAAATAAATAAAATAAAATAAAAACAGAAATTGGCGGGAATTCCATACATACAGGTACGGAAGTGATCGGAGGCAAATGCTATACAAATGTGAAGAGGAAGACAACCGGTACTGGTGATCCAAGGCTACCAGACTGGCCCGGGGGGACCACTTGCCCGGCCGAGCCAAAACAAAAAAAAAATATAGATATATTATATGTATGTATATCGTCACAAACAGAACTGCCCGGTAAACCGTAGGCAGAGAGAGAGAAGAGGACAACAAACGAGGGGCTGTGACAAACTGTTTCACCGACTCATCAGGAGGCTGAACCCTCAAAAGTCTGCAGAATCCCCTAACTGATTACACTGTAAGTGATAATCCACCTTAACCCCGGCTGTGGTTATATATATCGTCACAAACAGAACTGCCCGGTAAACCGTAGGCAGAGAGAGAGAAGAGGACAACAAACGAGGGGCTGTGACAAACTGTTTCGTTGGAGTTTCACCGACTCATCAGGAGGCTGAACCCTCAACAGTCTGCAGAATCCCCTCACTGATTATATATTATACATATATCATCACATAAATATCAGAGCGCAAAAGCAAAAAAAAGAAAAAAAAAGAAAGAAAAAATGAATCCGTTTTTTTATCCTCTTCCTTACAAGACTCCCCCTCTTCAGAACCTCTTGCGTACAAGGCTGCCCACGCGGATGTATATTTTTTTGTTTTTATTTTTAATTTGGGAAAAAATTGGGAAATTTTCGAAATGCCCCTGAGGTTCCCATTTATTTGCGATTTGCCCCTCCTATGGCTGACTTACCCTGATTTGCCCCTCTGACAGTGATTCAAGTTTCACTAAAAAAAAAGGGCGTCGTTTGGGCCTGAGACATTTTCAAAATGCCCCTACCGGTACCAGTGCCAAATTTCCAGTTTGCCCCTACCGGATAGACGTTCAATACAGGCACAGGAATTTTCCATATGCCCCTACCGGCACCGTCCATCTTTTGAAGAAGGTCAGTGTTCCTCCCCTGGTTCCATGCCTCTCTCTCTCTCTCTCTCTCTCTCTCTCTCTCTCTCTCTCTCTCTCTCTCTCTCTCTCTCTCACACACACACACACACACACACACACACACACACACACACACACACACACACACTTACCCTGATTTGCCCTTGGGCCTCTGAACTCTCGTGTAGGCCCCTGTCAGTGAGCGGCACAACTGTTGGGAATACCCCTCCCCGACCGGCGGTCCTATTTCCCTTGCTGCCTGTCCGATTTTCTGGCAGTAGCGGCTGTTCCCCTGGCCCTAGGAGGGGTGCTACCAAGGCTTTTTCTTTTGTTTTTGGTGTGTGTGTGTGTGTGTGTGAGAGAGAGAGAGAGAGAGAACAGGTAAGTCTCCAACCTCGTGGCTGGCCTCATGGTACTTCCATCGATAGGATGAGCAAAATCGAATGAATCTACAGTTAGAACATGGAAATATACACTGCCACACTTGTGTACGTGTGTGTGTGTGTGTGTGTGTTTGTGTGTTTGCGTGTGTGTGTGTGTGTGTGTGTGTGTGTGTGTGTGCGTGTGTGAGAGAGAGAGAGAGAGGCGTGGAACAAGGTGAGGAACACTGGCCTTCTTCAACGTACTCCATGGACATCCAAGAACGTCCAAGAAGGCCGCGGGTAGCAGTAGCTGAAGAATGCAGAATGCACTACATGGTGGATTGCAGCAGCGAACACGAAATGGAGTGCAGCCCCTTTTTTTGCGCAGCAGCCTGGAAAAGTATGGAGCTTAAATTCAAATTCTAAGCGCCTCCCTGCTGGAGGGCATCTCAGGAAGATGCATCCCCCACAGAAGGGCAAATCGGGTAGGCAGCACTACACGGGGGATTGCAGCAGAGGACACGAAATGGAGTTCAGCCCCTTTTTTTGTGCGGCAGCCTGGAAAAGTATGGGGTTTAAATTCAAATTCTTAGCGCCTCCCTGCTGGAGGGCATCTCAGGAAGATGCATCCCCCACAGAAGGGCAAATCGGACAGGCTTTAAATTCAAATTCTTAGCGCCTCCCTGCTGGAGGGCATCTCGGGAAGATGCATCTCCGACAGAAGGGCAAATCACACAGGCAGCAGGGGAAATAGGACCGCCCGTCGGGTAGGGCCATATTCCCACAGTTGTGCAGCTCACTGACAGGGGCCTGTACGAGAGTTCAGAGGCCCAAGGGCAAATCAGGGTAAGTGGGCCGCCGGAGGGGCAAATCGCAAATACACGCAAACTTCAGGGGCATTTCGAAAAACAAATCCACAAAAATTTGATGCGACTCTGAGGCAAAAGTTGTTCAGTTTTTTTTTTCTGCATAACATTTTATTTTATTTTTTTTATTCGCAGCCCTTAGGCTGCGGTATAGTGTGCTTCCGCGTCTGTGTCAAGGTGTCGCATTTTTGGCAACGGGCGACCAGGACGCAAAGTGGGTTCTTAGGGGGCAAAAAAATTTGGGGGACCGGTCCTTGGCAAAACTGCCGACTACCTACAGCTAGCTCTTCTAGAACCGGGACTTTTGGCAAAAAGGAAGGACTGGTCCTCGGGTGGAAGTGGACCCCAAAAAGAAGTGGGGAGCGTTGGACCGGACCCCGGGTAGAACCGGACCCCAAAAAGAAGTGAGGGCATGTGAACTGCAAAAGGGCCCTCAGGCCCAGGCATTGAGCCCCGTCTTCTCAAAACAGGGAGGTCAGGCACAACGAAATAGGCGTTTTGCAAGAGGCAACTTTGGCGATTTTCTGTGCTCGAACGAACGTGAACAAAAATCTGAAATTTTGAGAATCCATAGATGAGGTCATGTTCTTTCCAGAAATAATAATAGAACATTAAAAAAAATAATTTACACTGCGAAGTAATTGTCGCACCGATTCGGCACATTTTCCATTTTTGCCACTCAGCCATGCCTGGGCCAACTAAAAAAGTACTCCAAATTCAGTGAGCTTTCACGCTCAGAAGAATGCGTGAAAAAACCTGAAAATTGGAGTACTCGTAGTTTTGTTGTGATCTTTCCAGGAAAAACCCTAAATAAATTTTAAAAAATCATTCCAACTGCAAAATAGATCGCGCCCGCAATCTGACCCATATTTCAATTTTGCCATTCAGTCTCTCTCTCTCTCTCTCTCTCTCTCTCTCTCTCTCTCTCTCTCTCTCTCTCTCTCTCTC